GGTATCCCATCAGGCCCTGCAGCCTTACGGATTTTCACCCTGCTCAGAGTCTTCTGCACATCCTGCTCTGAGAGTTTCAGAACAAACTCGCCCTGCACACTTGGGATCTTCTCAGCATTGCCCGTGTTCAGAGCATCAAAGCGGGCATAGAAATGGTTCAGCTCGTCAGAAATGGTTCAGCTCGGATATTGATTTTAGTGTACAATACTGTATGTAGTACAAATCCCAAAAAATTAAACAGCTGAAAATTGGTGTTGTAATCCCATAGCCTGTTATTGCTGGTCATGTGAGGGTGGTGATGCATCAAGAGCCCAAGCACAAGTGACCAGAGAGTGGTGGAACACCCAAGATGACCTGACTGATTGAGGGCTAGGATGCTCTGGAAGAAAGGGAAAGTGAAAATAGAAAGGTGTTGATGGAATATTTCATTACTGGCTGGCAGGGCTTACTCAGCCCAAACCAGACAGTAATGGAAATTAAAAAGGAAAAAACAGAACTGGCCAGCAGAGCTAGGAAAGGACCCAGTTGGTCAGCAAAAAAAGATGCCAAGTGAAATGCAATGGTCTGGGAGATGCCAGCCTTGCATCCTGTCTGCATCCCTGCCGACCAAGGAGAATGGCTGACATGATAAAGTGCCAGCCCCAAATGAGACTGCTCATCCCAGCCCATCTGGGACCCTCAGCTCCGGGGGGAAACCAGCAACTAAGCCCCCAGAAGGAAAGGGAGCCTCACAGATCTGGGAGGCAGCCCTCCAAGTAGCCAGGGGTGCAGGCCACAGACCCACAGGATGATGCAATTGACAGGAAAGAAGTAGCTGTGCTTTGCCCCTGGGGCTTTACGGAACCCCCACACAGTGATCCTGTCAAAGGGGCCAAGAGCAGATGATTGAAGGTGCACACCCTATTGGGGTCTCCTCCGAGACCACATGAAGCATGCTCTGTCAGCACGGCCTCCCAGGTTCAATGAGGTGAGGGGACTGCACAGACAGAGGACCTGGGGTCTGGAACTACAGAAGCTGCCTCCTGGATGTGGGATGGCACCACTGGAGAACCACCAGCCAGCAGGGAAAAGTCCAGGATTCCCAGGGTGGAGAGCAGGAGAAACCAAGCAGTCAGAACTGTAGCAGTGAAGAGGGCTGCATGGGGAGATCCTCAAGGTCCTGGATGGCAGAAGCTTCCTCCTGGATGTGGGATGGAACCACAGAGAAGAGAGGCCAGGTGAGGAAAAGGCCAGGAAATCCCAGGGAGCTTCCATACACTCCGGTTCAGGAGATGTGGTGATGAGTGAATCCTGGGACTGGAGTGTTCTGGATTGGAGTCTGAGCAGGCTGCCTCAGTAGTGAGAATGAGTGGTCAGTGTCCAGCCCAGGGATCTCATCCCCGGAGAATATAACAGTCAAAGGAATTAGGCAGCCTTTAACTACAGAGCGGGATCCTGTGCCAAGCTTTCAGGAAATAAAGGAGGAATCTCGGTCTTGGAACAGGATCCAGAGCACCAAGGGACAAGGGTGACTTTGGAGCGGAATCCTAGCATCGAGAACCACAGACAGGGGTGCAGACAGGCTTTGGGATCCAG